TATATTAGGTTAAAGGGTCTAAAATTGTTCCAGCTCCTGCTATGTTACCCTGGAGAGACAGTGTATTCAGCTCGCCAAAGAAATGTGAACTTTAATAGGCAAGTGCAGGCACTTAGGTGCATCCTTACCTTTTAAAGAAGCTTCTTGACATGGCACTTACTTACCTAGTAAGTACATCAATGGGGAGGTGGGCAGAAAGGAGCTGGAATTCAGCACTCCACCTAGAAAGTGCAGTTTTCTAAGCAGAGAATATTTTTTGGAGACAAGATATCAATTTACTAAAGAAATCCATGGAGAAAGGTTTATTTAAAAGAGATGGGACACTGTCCCAGCTGCACCTAGACTCGGAGCTCATCCAAGCCCCCAGCGAAGACATCCCAGCCATGGCCATCCAGAAAATCTTTGCCCGGGAAATCCTGGACTCCAGGGGCAACCCCACCGTGGAGGTGGATCTGTACACGATAAGGGCCAATTTCGAGGCAGCTGTGCCCAGTGGGCTTCCACAGGCATCTATGAAGCTCTGGAACTAAGAGATGGAGACAAATCCTGCTACCTGGGGAAAGGAGTCCTGAAGGCTGTGGAACACATCAACAAGACTCTAGGCCCCGCTCTGCTGGAAAAGAAACTAAGCGTTGTGGATCAAGAAAAAGTTGACAAATTTATGATTGGGCTGGGTGGAACCGAGAATAAGTCCAAGTTTGGGGCCAATGCCATCCTGGGCGTGTCTTGGCCGTGTGTAAGGCAGGAGCAGCTGAGAAGGGGTCCCACTCTACCGACACATCGCAGATCTCGCAGGGAACCCTGACCTCATACTCCAGTGCCTGTGAGTGCAGCTGCCCCAGCCAGATCTCACCTTGACAAGCTCTGCCACCCAGTGAGGGGTGCTTAAGAAGCCCCTTGGAAAATCCACCTTCCAGACCCAGCTCCAAAGAGGCAGTTTCCTGAAATCCAATCTCTCCTACTGTGGTCCAGCCCCTCCCTCTTTCCCATAATCCAAACCTTCCCTTAAGCCTCTCTCTGCTGCCTTCCCCTGCCATGCCACCAGGTTCCTTCACATTCCTATCCCAGGCTCAATAACTCCAACCTCATTCCGCCCCTGCACCCCACTCCCCAAATCAAATTGAGAACTTCTTCTTCACGGCAAGGATGTCAGCATTTCTTTGTATCTTCTTGAGTCTTTATTAAACTAATGCCCTCTTAATGGAAAATAAATAAATATATATGGAAATTTAGACAAAAGGTTTGCAAAGCTTCTTCCAGATGATGTGACCAAGGCACAGATGCCCTAACCTTGGCCCAGAAAAGGGACAGGGAAACACAACTAAGACAAACAGAAGGCAGTGCAGAATTCATAGCCACGAAACTTCTGAGACAAAATTTAAGGAAAGCACTAGGCCAATGTTTGTGCTGCTCAGCGAGAGAAGGAACAAAATTCCCCCTTCAAAATTGAACCCTAAACAGCTCCCAGCTGTAAGTAATAGAAATGGATGATTTATTTCTACATTATCTGCCAACTCATTTCTCTTCCACAGAAAGGAAAATTGTCTACTCTTGATCTTAAAGTATTTTCTGATTGCTAGGAAATCATGTCAGAGGCCAAAAGAGGATCTCTATGTAAATCCTCTGATAAAAATCATGAGCAGCAGCATGCCAGACAGAATCAGGCACAGATTAGTAATTCCACATCAGAACAGATTTCTATCATCTAAAAATTTGTTTTCCAATTAACACTCATTGATTTGCACAACAAAAAGAAAGCATCTACCATGATCTCAGTTTTGGAAACAATACAGATTTTGTTTCTCTTCCAGATGACAGGATATAAATCAGAGATTATACAATATGGTCATTTTAATTCTATAAGGACATCAAAATGATGTTGCCCAATGCACAGGTACACAGAAGTGTCTCCTAAATCACTTGTTTGCAAATAATAGCCTGGGGGCCAAATCCAACCCTGGAACTAAATCCAATCCCCCAGCCAGCTATCTCTGTGTAAATAAAGTTTTATTGGAACACGGCTACACCCATTTGTTTACATACAGTCTGTGGCTTCTTTCTTGCTACAATGCCAGGCTTGACTAGTTGCCACCCAGATAATATGGCCTATAAAACCTAAAATATTGGCTATCTGACCCCTTGCAGAAAATGTTTGTTGACTTCTGTCCTAAGTTGTCACACAAATACTTTCCTATATTTCGGATGCAAAGATAGACAGGACGAGGCCACTCCTAACTCAACTATTTGCAAAATGTGGCTCCTGGAAGTAAATAAAAGGCTATTCATTGAGCCTTCTCTTTAAGTCAAGTTCCAGTAGAGTCTCATTGTTTCTAGAAATTTGGGTGGAGTATATATATCCTTGCCCTTTGATTTTGTTTTCAGCCAAGTGACCTGGTTGGCCAATGGATGTTAATAGATTTGACATAAACAAAGGGTTTAAAATGTATGTACATATATTTTGGGGCTTGTCTTGCACTTTCCTTTGCCATACAAAAAAAAAAAAAAGCCTTTGCTTACCTGCTATCCCAAGGACAAAGAAAGACACACATTAGCCAACTCATATCATGAAGCAGAGCCACTGCAGCCAACTCTTAAGTCCTTGAGAATAAATGACTTTTTTTAAGCCACAGGGAGTTTTGCTTACATATAATTATTGTGGCAATAGCTAACTAGTACATAATCAAACCACTCTCTCATCGTATTTCAAAACCTTCCAAATACACTATTTCCTCTATACCAATTTTATGTTACATTGCTGCCTAAAATATCCTTTCTTCACCACTTCATACTCAAAGTATTTTATGTTTTCAGGACCTAGATCCCACCCAACTTTTCCACAGAGAAGCTGTCAGCTCTTTACCTGATAGTAAGCAAGATATTACTGAACTCCTGCATTATTTGAAGGCTAGAACTCACAGACAATAAATGAATCATTCTGTAAATCAGTGGTTGCCAGTTTGGGAGAAACTGGGTAGTTTGAATCAGTTTTACGGGTGCCTGTAATAGTATGCCCTTTTCCTACTCCTCAGAATACAGCTCCTCAGCATTCACAAACCTCAGCCATGGGTAATATTATATCCATTCCTTCCCATCTCTGAAATCTACCACGAGCTACTCTTCATATTTTTCCCTACAAACATAAAAACCACTACTCTCATTTACTTAATAATTTCCTATAAATCAAATATTTTTTTCCTTTACTTAATTAAATGTACCTAATGGGAAAGCTTTAGAATTGAAAAAGAAATGAATTTCTCACAATATTACTTACAGTGAAACGGTTAATTCTTCAGCAAAGTGCCCTTAAAAGAATCTGGCCTATCACTTGCACTTTCAGAGGGAGTGGGGAGTTCTCTGGGTGATTCTGTAGTTAATTCCATCTGTACAACTAGAATGCAAATTCCTTGAAGATGAGGATCAAGTCTCATTAAATTTTTAGTGATTAGTGGCCTCAGGCAAGGCCAAGAAAATAGAGAAAACACTGGGAAAAAAGAGAAACCCTGATTAGGAAAATAGTACCATAGAAATCTAGTATTTCTTGTATTTCCCTTACTAGATCGCTAACTAATTTTAGGTTATTCATAGTAGTGCCTAAAAGAGAAAGAACAAACTCCACACAGCAAAGGGAACCACTAACAGAGTAAAGAGACAGCACACAGATTGTGAGAAAATATTTACAATTCATACATTGGATAAAGGACTAACATCCAAAATATATAAGGAACTGAAAGTACTCAAAAATAAGAAAACAAAAAAAACACAATTTAAAAATAGACAGAGGAGCTGAATAGAAATTTCTCAAAAGGCAACATACAAATAGGCCAATAGATAGATGAAAAAACACTCACCACTTCTTGATCCTGGGAATTCCTCATCCCTACTGCCAATCCCTGTTGGAGTTTCCGAACACAGACAGTAGCACACAAGTCTAAGAAGTTTCAGCAAGAATCCACATTATCAAAAAATTCACATTTGTGCCACCACATAAACGTTTGACTGATGACAACAGTGAGTGGAGAGCCCACACACGCTCTACACCTGTTGGACATGACACAGATGTAGGCAAAGTGTATTAGGACACTCGGCTCACTTCTTTTTCTTTTGTAAAGAATCCTCCAGCATTTCCCTCAATGTTGTGAGATAATTTCAGTGGAATCCAATGTTAAAGCCAAAAAATGCCATGCTGACTATTCTAATTCAAGGGCAATTGCCAGTCGGTTCAAGCCTACTGGCATGACACTTGGCAGGATGCTGCCACATAGCAACACTATGTGCTCAAAGCCTCGGGTGGGCCAGGTTTGGCTCATCAGCAGCTTCTTGTTGTCCCCTGTGACTTAGAAATGCAATTACTACCACCTTTCCAGAATCCCACATGAGGTGGAAAAGGGTAACTCTGGAGATAAGTATCTTCTCAGTCCTCACAATCTCGGAACCTTGGAAACAATTTCACCCCTCCTCACTGGAGAAACAAAGTTTACTTCAATAAAACAACTAAGGGAGAATTTAAAACAAAGTGAGGGTAGTACAATTCTGAGCAGGATGGCTCAGAAAGTTGATGGAGACAGAATGCTTCACGACACCCCCACTTAGGTGGCACTTTTGAAGTGCCAGGCACTGTACCACGTGCTTCCTATGCATTAGCTCATTTAATCCTCACAGCGACCCCACAAAGAAGATGCAGAAATCCAGAATCTATACTCTCACCACTACAATCCACTCCCTCTCGACATAACTGTGCAGGCGCAGAGGTAGCAGCGAGGAAATGGCAGGGTGTTCCAATGGGGGAACAAAGCCCCAAAGCTGGAGTAAACACGGAGGATAAGGTGAAGATTGGTGCGCACCGTCTCAGGGATGGACATGCTTGAAGCTCTGACTCAGGTGGGGCAAGGGGGCAATCTACGTAACCTAAACATTTGTACCCCCCTAATATGCTGAAATAAAAAATAAAAAAAGTTCAAAAAAAAAATATCCTCAGCCAAGCCATGACAAAGCCCCTAACCAATGGCCAGGACCCCTTCCCAGCCCACTGAATGAGCCACCTTGGAAGCAGGTCCTCTAGTCCCAGGTGAAGGAGGTGAAGGCTAGACAGCCGACACTGTGTGAAACAGGACAGGCCATCTCCATGGAGCCCTGCCCAGACTGCAAAATAAATGATTCTTCCTCTTTTAAGCCACTAAGTTTTGGGGTGGTCTAAACAGAGGGTGAAATTTCTGCTGCTTGCCCTCATACCACAATTGCTAATTATATCTCTGGTGGTAACTTAAATAAAATCATTAAGGGCAAAAAAAAGAAAGAAAAAGGTAAAGATTGTTTGCCATATAGGAAAACATGGATGCCTAGGTTAGACAAGCAAGGAGGATCAGTTAACTAAAGACCCTGAATGCCCACCTTGTAAGCCAGAATTAGACTGCATGAAGCATGAACTTTTTCATTGACTACAACAGCAGTCATCCCAGAGAGGAGGTATTTTAAAACTAGGTTCCAAAATTTAAATGTGCTCAAAGATAAAACATCATTGTTTGGAGAAAAAGTGACAGCCCCATTGTCATGATGATCTGAAGCTTTTACACTGTCCCATGGGAGCTGCCAAGAATCATTTCATCATTCTGTTTGTGGAGACACAAAACAGAGAAAGATTGAGATCTATCTAGCAACGCATTCTGTTCACCTTAAAGATGAGAAATGCATAGATTTAAACACAGCACTGCACATATTATTTCAGTGGGTTGCTTTTGAATTCTAAATTGCACCAATTAAGGATATTTTCCGCCTGATTAAAATTCATCATGAATTCCAATAACAACA